GAAAACTATATGATCATAATGCAAATAAGGATGCTGCAAACATGAAGATCAATAAAGCCCAAACATAGAGTAGCTTTGCTACTGTGAAGCATCCTTTCCTTCTATTCTTGATCAAGAAGGAGTTAAAAGCAGATGGTCTGAGCATCTAAGAGCGAGAGCGGAATTGTCAAGGTGGGCTGTGTGACAGGCAGGCAAGCAGGAAAAAGGACTCGAAATGCAGGACTCTGGGAGACAGGACTTGAACTTAAAACACAGCTTTAATGCTGGAAAAACTCCTCATAAAAATAACTCTCACAGAAAAGAAACAAAGCAGAAACACGACAAACACACAGCTTGGAGAAAGTACAACACGACAGAGAGCACAGGAAAACACAGGGCTTATATACACAGGGGAGTAATCAGGGAATGGGCAACAGGAGGGAGACACAACTGAGAGAAATTAGGCTACGGAGACGGGGGGAAGTAAAACTGAACACACTGACATGAGACATGAACTTTCAAAGTAAAACAGGAAACCAGAAACAATTCACAAAAACGCAAACTTGACACTGAGTGGTGGACAGAAAGAATATAACACATAAAACAGAGAAGAAGAATAACCCTTAATACAAAATCAAACCAGCACAACTCAAAAACCCGAACAAATCATAGTTAAGAAAAACACCAAACCAGAAACAGAAAAAGCTTGGTCAAAAATGACCCAGAACCGCGACAGGAATAAAGCAAAAGTTCATTTCTCAGCTGCCAACCCACACTTGGCTTTGAAAAAGCAATAAAAGGGCCTTAAAATCAGTTCTGCATTTGACAGGAAGCCAGAGCGGAAAGCTAGCACCAGTGAAATGTTTACTTCAGCAGCTGCAAACAACACAGTGTGAACTGAGCAATATTCTGGAGTTGAGAAAAGTGATGGACTTCAATTTAACAATGTTCAGAAAAAAGCTGAAAAAAGTAGCAGAATTTAATCTTAAATCAGTGTCACTCCACGATTCCTGAAATGAGCATCAAGGTTGGATGATCCTGATCTTAAATGGCTACATTATGGTTCTCAGAGGACCAGACAGGATCACCTGTCTTATAATCCTGCAACTGAAGAAAGAGGATGGACCCATTACCAGCAGTCACTGAAATTCAAAAGCAGATATATTTATATTTAGCGAAGTGTCAGGAGATGTGTACAGCAAATAGGGTCTTGTGTGCAGGTTAACAGTTATTCTAAAATGGCTTGGATAAAAAGCAAAGATGGGATGTTATCATTGGCATCCTGTAAAAAAATTAGAGAAAGGGGGGTTAAAAGCGGGAAGAAAAGGAGGTTTAATTTCCGGTAGACAGCCTGCATAATTCACTGTGTGCATAGTTTTCCATTTTTCTCCATTTTATTCTTATAGAAGAATAAAGAATAAGTGTTTCGAGCACTTCTCCTTTGAACTG